AGACCTTGCTATTACTGGCTCCCTCCCAGAAACCAAAAGGGTAAAAAGACCATCATGCTCTAACAAATTTCACTGTTTGAGAATCTTTTCCTGGTGCAGAGCCGATCTGCTGGATCACATCACAAGATAATCGCACGATGCATCCCTGCAAAACAGGGAAAACATCGCCGTTGTTGCTCCTGCTTCTAACGGGACAAGAAATTAGCCTCCCAGAAAGTTTTTGACCAAACAGAGGCTTCCAAAGAGCCAAGAACAGGGAGGGGGAGCAGAGCAGCCCAAGAACCAAGAACCAAACGGAGCCTTCCGAAGGTTGGATCAAACAGGGGTATCAGCCGGCAATGGCTGCCCGGGAAGTAGAATTTCTATTGGAAATGCAGATGAAGAGAGCGCAGAACTGTCGGCCAAGAGTTCTTGCGGAGGCCTCTACCTGCGGTAGGTTCATGGTGAGGCCGGCCATGGAGGCGCTGCTGCCTCCCTGTTGGCAGGGAGCCATGGCGAGCCTGCACCTCCATCTCCTCCTTCCTCTTCTTCTTCTTCTTCTTCTTCTTCTTCCTCTCTCTCAGTATCTGAGAGTTCTCACTGCTTGCTCTTCTATTCTTCTTCTTCTCTCTCCTGTTCACCTCGGCAGCGGCGGCAGCACACGCCAAGTAATGGCAGAGCAGAGCAGGCCAGGGAGGGGGTGGGGTGGGGTGGGTGGGTCAGCTCCTCATGTGGCATTCACACATATAAACAAACTGGGCTGTCTCCCCTCCTCGCCCTTGTGGCCACACGAACATTTTCTTTTCTTTTCATTCCGTGCGGTGACATGTTCAAAAGCAAAGCGAGAGAGAGGAAAAGAGGATGGCGAAAATGACCTCCCGTGATGGATTTGGTTAGGTGAGGGGAGAATGTTTAGTTTCCTTCAGCAAAGTTAATTATTGAACTGTCAACATAAACCACTTGTTTTCTTGATTATCCAGGCCTGCAACTCCTAATCGTTCAAGTTTTCTTAATATATTGTATACTGCTCTCTCCGCCTGAAAATACATGTTGAAGAAATAGATGTATCCAGACGTATTTTAGTTCTAGATACATCCATTTTCACTTATTTCTCCAGCAGCAGGTGTTTCCGGACGGAGCGAGAATATATGCTACTAGTATTATTTATATGAAAAAAATAGCTCCATAGTTGTCCTAATGTGACAACAATTTGGATTAAGCAGGCAGGCACTCTCAAAGGCATATTTCTGACCTTTGTTGTCACGACACCAAGGCACGTTGCCCTGTACGGAACCCTGGCACAGAAAGATTATATAGAGCATTGGGGGGCATGTGGCATGTGGTTAAACAAATGGTGCAACTTGCACCATGAGAGCTAGCCACAGTGGTCTTCATGATCAGGCTTGTTTGTCTCTGTCCTGATCTAACTAATAATTAATTGTCTTCATGGCCTTATTTTGCTTCTCTTTCTTTCTAATAAGTAACAGTAGTTAATCACCTTTCTGAGGGAACTTGGGAGCCAAGCCAAGTTGGAAAGTGACAGCAAAGAGTAATTAACAATGTGTACATACAGTACAGTGTGTGAGACCTGGGTGTGACTTGTGAGTGAGTCCTTAGCCATTAAGGTTGTTTGAGCTTTCTTTCTGGATGCCACTTGCAGTCACTCAAGCCAAAAAGTTTGCCTTTTTTGCAATAATGATGATGATGATGCATGACTTAATGTGCAGGGGGTGGGATCTTGGAAAAAAACACCCCTTGGCTCTCCGGTGTGTAATATGCACATGGTATGCAAAAAAAGAAATAGTAATTATAAAAGAAATTGAAAAATATCTGAAACATTTTGGGAAAAAAGAAAACTTGGCCTGCTGCTGTACTCGTATGAAAAGTTTAACAAAGTTGATTATGTTCAACATACACCGCTTGTTTTCTTAAATCGCTCGGGTCTCCGAAGGTCATAATGTTTTCCTTTTCTTTCTAGTTAACATAGCTTGAAAAACGTTCTTAACACGCTGAGTGGAAATCATCATATCATATCATGGTAGAAAACAATGAAGCGTTGGTCTCACCCATCTTGCCTCTCAACCAACCTAACGCGGCCGCAAAAAAAAAACCTAACGCGGCCGCAAAAAAAAAACCTAACGCGGCCGCGATTTACACCCTCCAGTCCCCGGCTGCCACGTTGCCTCTGTACGGAAATCCGGCACTATTGATAGAACAAACAAACGTTGGGAGCATGTGAAATAAACAATTCAGATGATGCAACTTGTGCCGTTAATTAAAACCTTTTTCCTTTTTTGAGGATGCATGGATGGGCCTTTTTCATGAGGGAACTTGGGAGGCAAGCCGAGTTGGAAAGCGACCCGTGGTTGGCCGGCTAGGAGGACAGTGGTATCATGGTCGGTCATGTTTAAGTCCTACACTTGACACGGGTCATGTTTAAGTCCTACACTTGACACTGATGCTCGCATTTTCCTGGATTTATTTCAGTCCTCGTTGACCACGAAGGTGCCAGTAGCGATTTTTGTCAATCTGAAGATGATGTGCCGGCGCAGTCTCTCGAAGATGCTTATAAGGATAGGGTATACGTGCGTGCGTTCATAAGGACGAGGGTATGTGGAGCGTTTTCCGTCTGCACATGTGGGTTGCTGACTGGAGCAGTATCAAGGTATGTACAATGTTGGCATATGGATACATATGCCCCATGACAAAAAGTAATTTGAAACACCTACATCAATTTTTTCTCTCCAATGCAAGCTATCACTAGTGGACCTCATTAGGAAATAAAAAAAAGACTTTTAGTACACATGCATCTCTACTTTTTACTTCAATCTTTTCAGCTTTTGTCACCGGACCACGCCTTTTCTCTTCAAGCACCCGCCTCCTGGAGAGGATCCTGCTTCCCTATCCGAACCTACTTTACGTCATATCCGATCCTACATGGCATGCGAGGCATCACCTTGAGGCTATGCATTGTACATGCCCTCAAACACAAGAATCACAACAAAGCCTTTCCAGCTTGTAGTATTTTGGACTGCCTGTGAAAAGCATGTTAAAGTTGTTCTCCGAATTCAGTAGGATTGGTAGAGCAGCTGAAACCAGGCAGGCACATGGAACGGAAGAGAGGTCTGGTCAAGGCTTGAGCTTTGTGTGTTTGTGCATGCCACTTTCTCATGAGACTCAAAAAGGGCACCTTTTTTTTTCCCTTTTGCAATGATGATGATGATGCTGGGTTAATGGGAAGGAAGGAAGGGGGTGGGAACCTGCCATGAATGGACATGTGTGGCTTGCTGGTTCTTGCACCTGTGTAAACTGTGAGGAGGGCATGCTTCATTTTGAATTTTTTTTTCTTCTCCCCTGTTTTTGCTGTCAAGGGTAACAGTGGTGAAGACTGAAGCAAGTGTGTGTGTATGTGTGTGTGTGTGTCACAGTATCTTTCATGGTCAGTGCCAATCAGACCTGCCCTGAACTGAACTGAAAAGGTGGCCATCGCCAGTGGAAGCCACCTCATGCAAGCATGTACTCCCTCCGTTCGGAATTACTTGTCTCCGAAATGGATGTATCTAGAACTAAAGTACATCTAGAGACATCCATTTCTACGACAAGTAATTCCGGACGGAGGGAGTATGCATGCAGTTATTATTCCTTCTCTCTCTCTCTCTCTCTAGCTCCTGGGGCATCTGCTCTGGCCCTACACAGAGAGCAGAGCAGAGAGCAGGGCAGAGCAGCAGCAGCTCTGCTCAGTCTTGTCACCGGTCACTCGGCCCCTGCTGTGCATGCGCTCAGCCCCAGCTCTGATTCGATTCTCTTCTCTGCCAGCATTTTTACAAGTGGCAACAACAATACTAGCATGCAGGGCTGTGCCTGTGCTGGTGTCGACTTGGCACTGGACCTCAGCTGCAACTCAGACTGCAATGCAAATGCAAATGTGGTTGCCAAGAGAACTGCCCGGCAAAAGTTCGGCGAAAAACACCGGCATCACATCACACAAGATGTACTAAATGTCACACGGATTTTCCAAGCAAAGTTTTTGTTTGCTACTTGCTCATTCCAGTCGCCAGTTATACCAAAAGTTCCGGAAACAACAGTACACGGCACGGACCCGAGAAAAGTTCTGTGGCCGCGATGCGATGCGACGCGACGCGACGCTCTAGGATCGCATCGCATGAGATCCTTCTTCTACAGGTACCCATGGATTATGAGGAGGGGGGGATGTGGCGGTGGTGATGGTGGTGGTGTTCTTCTCTAGCGGAGGCGGGGATCGATCGAACGAGCCCACCCCCGCCTCCGGGAGTCGGCAGCTCGCGCGAGAGCTGCTTATTGGCTGAGTAGCTTGGAGTCGCAGGCCACGATCTTCACCTTGCCCACCTGCTCGGTCGTCTCCTCGTTCTTGAACTGCGCGTCGGTTAATATGAATGTCCACACGTTGTCGCAGAACCTGTAGGTGTGCAGATGGCCCTGCATATATATACACAGAAAAAAAAAGGAACGGGAGTGAGTATTATCCTGATGAAGATTATCACTCTAATAAACTGGATGATGCAGTCAGAATCATGGCATTGGCAATGAGAAGAAAAAGTCTGAACTAGAGCTGAATTTGTAGCGACGGCATTAACCTGATGGGTTATCAGCGCAATACGGAATTGAATTATCAGCGCGCAGTCTGAACTACGGCTCAAAGCAGAGAGAACAGGGTGTGCACATGGCCTTGTAATCAGAAACGGACAGACATGAGGAATGCAGATGCAGATGTCAATGAGAAGCAAGCACAAGTCTGAACCACAGCTGACTTTCAAAAAAAAAAAACAGCTGAATTTCATAGGCGACAGTATTAAAAAGCTGGAAATATCTCCTCTCCACCCGCTTCAATCCACACGTTAACTAAAAGAGATCAATGAAACAAAGGAGGTTTCCTAGAAACAGCAAAGAGTATATGGGTTTTCTGAAGCAACGCACAATTCTTTGCATTTTCAACAAAGAAGTTATTTTTGCAGGAACAGTTTCAGCAAATTGACAGGAGATTGATTCGTGCCAGGTTCCATCCCTGAAGTTGCAACCAAGAATCCAGTTCAACGTCAGATTATACAGAGACTGTCAACCCTCTAGAACTCCACACAAACAGCAACAGGAAGCCAGGAACCAGTTCATGTTTGCGCCCTCTGTACTCTATCAGCTAGGCCCAGCAACGTACCAAAAAATGCAAATTATGCTTTAGATATTTTTGAGTACAAAAAAAAGAGGATACAGACAGCATTTATGAGCACACAAAGGTACAAGATTGAGTTAGTGATGATGTTGGTTCATTGTATAGCCTCCAGTAACAAAGATATCAACTGCAGCTTGCTGATCGAATGTGAATTCATAATGTTGGTCAATTTAAAAATGGAACCGAGCCTGCTCTGAGTGGCGTTACTTAAAGATATCATTGATCTGGTTCTCCGTATCTGTTACTCGCAATCTTAGGGTCTCCTGCAGGTATTTGCGAACGCAAACTTATTCAAGGAAGCCAGCAGCTAAGATCAACTAGAGTTTGTATAGCTGGGTGTTATGTGGTGGGATATTGGAGGATGGAAAGTGGCGGAGGTGGTAGCCGTGGCTGTTGACAGGGAGAGGTTTCGGCTGCAGGCAAGGGCGCCAGGGCGGCTCGCACAGGGAGGTAACAGGGTTGAGAGGAGGGAGTAGGGTTTAGTCTGCTCACTGGGGAGTGGGGACCAACAACATGCCCAGATACCACCTAGTCTGCTCACTGTTTTGCAATTGCAAGATAATAGTAATATGATGTGTACTGCAAAAACTGTATATGCCTACGTTTTTTGTTTCATGCCACAAGTGGCATTCATTCACAAGGTGTTGCAGGTCAATTACCTTTGGTTTCTATAAAAAGACAGGGGACTCCTTTTTGACAGAAAAAAAGTGAACATGTCACACGTAGTTGAAAGAAAACAAAATAATTGGTCAGTTTATATTATTTGTGATTATTCCAGATTTAAGTTTCTAATCAGTTCTCTATCAGGTTCAAATACAATGTGGGCACAAGGAGTCAATGAAATCCTTTGGCAACTGAACCATGAATGAGACAGAGCGTCTTCTGGGGTGGCTAGCTAGAGCAGGCTGAAAGTGCTCGCGGCCCGCCCACCCGCGTTCGAGGCTCAGCCTCCACAGGGCTGGTGCTGGTTGTGTGAGTTTTTCTTTTATGGTGAATCATGAACCATCATATGTGATACCAAAATTCATTTAACACTATTGTTGACAACTTCAGGCAAGCGAAAAATTCCAACGCGTGCTGCTCCAATTCATTTGTGCCATAAAAGGATTTTCTTTTCACACTTAGTTAATGTCAACATGTTAATGTTTTGGATATAAAGGAAATCCAGCAGGATATTTGTGAATCACCAACGCATGTTAATGTTTTGGATAGTGAGAAAATCCAGCCAGTAGTATTTGAAATCATGCAAATCGAGGTGACTGAAACAAAAGAAAAATAAGAAACAAGTGGCAGCTTCAGAAGCTCCTCTTTTAGCTGTAAACATGCATTATGTCAACATGTTTTGTTTTGCAGAAAGTTCTTTTTTTACACAATTCCAGAGTTACCCCAGATTGTGCGACATCCCTAGAACTCAGAACAACGTATGCAAACAGATTCCCCAGGACCTTTGCCCTTTACGGCCTTGGAAACAGCGAAGCATATCTAGTAATCAAAGAAATCCTTAATGGCACCTGCTATGGTGAATGATGGCACCTGCTATGGTGAACCATGAGCAAGACCAAGTGTCTGCTCGGGTGGCTAGCTAGAGCGGCTGAAGTGCTCGCAGCCTGGCAACCCACGTTCGAGGCTCGGCCTCTGCAAAGTTTGGTGCTCGCTGTTCTTCCTAGCAAAAAATGCCACCAAGGGCTAATCCTGGTTGGTTTAGTTTTTTTACGGTGAACCGTGAACCACAATCGGATATCAGAAGTTATTTGATACTGTGTTGATAATCATTTTATTCAAGATCAATCAGGCAAGCAAAAAATCCCAACGCGTTCCACTCAATTCATTTCTACTACAGAAGGATATTTTCTTCCAAATTCCATGTTAATGCTTTGGATATTGAGAAAAACCAGTACTATTTGACATCATGTAAATTAAGGTGACTGAAACTATGGTCACTATGAGTAAGTGGTAGCTTCAGAAGATATTTTTAGATATGAACACACATTATGCCAACAGGTTTTGTTTAGTAAAACAGCGTTTTTACACAATTCCAGAGTTTCCCCAAATTGACTGACGTCCCTTGAACTCAGAACAACATATGCAGGACATATTTCCCAGGATCTTCGCCCTTATGGCCTTGGAAACTGTGAACGATATCTTTAGTAAGCAATATATGTAGCAAAACAAGAAAAGTAAAGGTTTGTTTCCTTTACAGAGGTCTGCGATGTGAACAAACAAGCTAAACTGCAGTGCAACTTGGCACTGGTACCACGTGTCGTAAGGATATTGATCGACCGCTATCTAGAAAAGCAAGCATATTTATCATACCACAAAAGGTCATAACCTTTTTAGAACCCGACAAATTAATTCACAGCAGCATATGGCAAATAATAATGAGCCCACCGAGCAGGCGAACACCGAAATGGCGCGAAAACTGAAGAAGAAAAAATCCGAAGCACGTACCTTGACAGTAACCTTGCTCTTCACTTGGTTTTCCAGTGCCTCCGTCATAGACTGCACACACGAGAAACACAGAGAAACCATAAATCAAATCATCCGCAAGATATGGAAAGCTATGTCCCCCAATCTGAAGGGGAAGACTGGCGGTAACCGAAGAAAGAATATCTCAGCTGTCGCACCTTATCGAACTGGACTAGCACTTGGATGGCGAGCTCGGGGCTGAGGGTGCCGCTGGAGACCATCTCGTCGAGCGTCTCGGTGAGGCACATGCCGATGGTGGACCGCCTGTACAGCTCGAAGGTGGCCATATCGCCTTGCCTGCCCAAACAAGCACGCTCTTTTCAGTCATTAGCAGCAAGCTAGTACTCCCTCCGTTCCGATTTACTCGCCGTGGTTTTAGTTCAAATTTGAACGGAGGGAGTAGATGTATAGGGTCCATTCATGTCACATACAGAGTAAAGACTAGTAGTATAACAACAACAAGCAGAGCCGATTCAGTCATGCCATGTGAATCGTCTCTGAAGAAGAGGTCCCCCATTTGATGATTCGATACGAGCAAGCACTAAGCTATTACTACTACTACTACACATCAACCACAATCAATGGCCCCTCCATCCCGTGCGTCATCTGGCCGGTTCCTCTGCTAGATGCAGATCAGCCAATCCCGGTTCTTCTGCAAGGAACGAAGAATAAAAAAGATCTTCTTTTTTCTTCCGGCTCGGTTCCATTCCGGCGGCATCTCCCCCCACCACCACCACACCGAATCCATCGAGGAATCCGCCGTGGAACGGCAAGCCCAAGGGGGGCGACTAATCCCCCCCTCCCACCGCTGAACGAACGAACGAACTAACGAACCCTAGAAAAGCAGAGCGGGAGGCCCCGGGGACGGCGCCCCGGCCCATTCCGGCGGCCAGGACTGATCCCGGACGGACCAACAAGAGCCCGGAGACAGACAGGGAACGGCAGGGGGGAGCGATCTGATTCGAGCACCGGAATCGATCGAGGGGGCGGCGGAGAGGGGGAGTCAATCACCTGCGGCGGCTGCGGGTCGACGGCGGTCCTGGCGGCGAGATCCGGGGCGCTGCGGGGCGGAGCGCGGCGAGGAGAGGGTTCGGATCGGGGGAGAGGAGTGGGGGAAGGGGATGCGATGGGGGGGTTCGAAATCGGGAGGCTTTATATGTATGCTGGGAGACGAAATTGGGGATTATATATAGGGAGCAGGAGCAGCCGGATGAGGAGCTCTCTCTGCTTATCGCTCTATGTCTCTGTGTCTCTGCTCTCTGCCTTCGGCTCTTGGTGGCCGCAGCCTGGCCGTGGCTGGCCGGCACGGCTTGACGGTTCTGCCCCTGGGCCACGCTGACCACCCACCGTGGGCTGGGCCGGGCCGGGCCGGGCTGTACTTGACCATGGGCCGGAGCCACATGGGCCAAACACAAAATCAGTTTCCAAATAATAAAAAACCTTAGAAAAAGGCATTTTGAAGATCCGATTTTTCCTGAAGAAACGCGGTACAGATGTAGACGCTCACACAGCGCACTCACCCCTATGCCATTTCACCACGAGAATCCGCATGCTCAGCATCTTCGATGAAGAAAAAAACTAATTTCATTCATTTATTTATTTATTCTTGTTGTCATTCGTTTCTGAATCTACTGTTCATGCGGTAGTTAATGAGTCTCGCCTCGTCCATGGATTATCGCGTGGTGAGCCGCTTTCTCCTCCCCTCTACCTCTTCCTTGGCCAGACTCTTCTAACTGGGCTCAACCAGTACTCGGCCCGACCTGCATTGGCTGGTTGAGATTGTGACAATCGTGGTGGATGGGGAGTGACAGAGGACTGAAGGCAAGCGTCAGTGAATTGGCCCAAGCGCCCTCTCGTTGGAGCAGAGGAGATAGATGGGTTCAACGGGATGGCGACGAAACATAAGATTTGTGGGCTCCTCCCAAAGAATGCCATGTCAGCGTGCAACTTCAAGATTCTCCCCACAAAAGGCACAGAGAGGGATGGTGGACTCGGGAGCTCCTAGTCGGATCCGTCTTGCCTGCTCCCTCTCCATGCTCCCATCCGTGCTCCCACCTCATCCTACGGCTGTCTTTTTTCCTTCTTCCTTTCTAATCTAATCATCTTCCCCCTGATTTTAAGGGGGTGGGGGCGGACCTTATTTTGTACCAATTAAATCAAGCCACATATGCGGGAGCACGGATGGGCGCATGCGCGGGAAGCAGGCAAGTCTCGTCTCTCCTAGTCAGCGCTTTCGGCGCCAACTAGGGGTTTCGGCACCCACGCTACCGCGCTATTGGGCCGGCCAAAACAGCAGCGCGCCCGACAGGAAAATAAAAAAATGGCGCGAGCTAGGTAACTCGATCCGGTGACCTCCTGTCTCGTGATACAACAACCTAACCATTCGACTACTAACTGATTTTATTTATTTATTTATTTATTCTTGTTGTCATTTGTTTATGAATCTATTGTCCATGTGGTAGCAAATGAGTCTCGCCTCATCCATGGATTATCGCGTGGTGATCCTCTTTCTCCTCCCCTCTGCCTCTTCCTTGGCCGGACTCTTCTAACTGGTCTCAACCAGTACTCGGCCCGACCTGCATTGGCTAGTTGGGATTGTGACAAACAAAACACGGTGAGCGGCAACCCGTGGTGGATGTGGAGTGACAAAGGACCGAAGGCAAGCGTCGGTGAATTGGCCCAGACATCATCTCGTTGGAGCAGAGGGGGTAGATGGGTTCAACGGGATGGCGACGAAACATAAGATTTGTGGGCTCCTCTTAGAGCATATGCTCACTGTTGCGCATTTCCTCCAAAAGATTACCGAATATGCTAAAAAATGTTAATATCAGGAGCACAAGTTCACACTACATCTCTATAGTGTATATCACGTAGGAACAAACCAATCTGATTGACAAAGCTAAGTTTAATTAGTTACGCCCTTATGAAAAATACATGTTAACTAAATTTCTATGTTTACAAATTTTTAGTTGAGAAACGGGCAGGAGATATTAAACTCAGTGAACTGAATTTCAAATAACCAACCATAAGTGTGTAGACATAGAATTAGTAGGTTTTTTTTGTGTTCTTTGATTATTACAATAACAATTATACTTTGAATACAAGTACAAATCATGCGCAACTTACTATTGAACCCAACTTGCAACATATAGTTTTCATACTCTAGAACTTTCTATAAATTTTGCTTAGCTAATAATACACTGTTTGTTTGCTTAGAAATCACTACCATGATTTCTAATGATATTAAAAATCTATATATGATAACACACACACACACACACACACACACACACACACACACATTATATATATGCAAATAAATAAAATCAATTATATATAGTTCATGCAAATTCCAAAATTATTTCAAATAGAATTTTCTTATTATATAGTTTAATATACATTTCAATTTTATAGCTAAGTATAATATGACAATTATCTAATAGTCGTGTTTATCTATGATAGTCAAGTAATAGAAATTAAACAATTAAGTTTATAGTATGATACAATTTATTCAAATAAGTATAAAAGTTTATTATAAATTTTGTAGTGACACTAATGGATCCCATATTTTTGTTATTATTATTTTTCGTATAATGTTTAATATTCCCTTAGTCATTTTTACTCCGCAAATAACTCATAGCCGTATACCAAGAATGATAGTTTCTGACTTATCTTCTACCATCTTGCCCCTGAGTGGATCGAAGAGAATGAATCAGGAAAGTTATAGATAATCAATGAGGAAAGTTGTAGGTAATAAAAATTATTCAATGTGCGCAAGTGTTAGAGAAATAAACAAATCAGAGAGTAAAAAATTGAAACAAGAATCAAAATTGAAGCGAATCTGCATTACTTTGCACTTATAGAACTACAGCAGCTCGAGATTGAGGCACTTTCTGGTTACACCCACCAGAGCTTGCAATTCAGAGCCAATGTCATAATAAGCAAGGGATAGTCTGTTTAACTTATCTAACATAAGAGTGGTTGGTCAACCTCTTGCATCAGTACCGACACAATAGAGATATTAGGTAGTTAGTGTTATGTAATATTAGTATCTATCATATTTTTTGTCAATCACACAATGTGGTAGAAAGGAGGAAACGGAAGACATGGTCACTTACCCTATTGCTGAATCCACATAGAGTCAGGTCAGTCACACAAACAAACTTGGAGGTGAGGCTTTTGATGGAGTAAATAAAGGTAGCCTTGCCTCTCTTTCTTGAGCACTGACTGTGGTGTCCGTCTCCTTCTCCATTAACAACTCGATCCTGACTTGATCCAGGGAGCGTAGTGTCTTCTCCATTAGCAACTTATAATGGATCCCATATTTTTGTTACTAATATTTTTTCGTATAATGTTTCATATGCCCTTGGTCCTTTTTACCCCGCAAATAACTCACATCCCGTATACCAAGAATGATATTTTCTGGCTTATTTCAACCATCTTGCCCCTGAGTGGATTAAAGAAAATGAATCAGGAAAGTTATATGTAATAAATATGCACAGTGGCGGCGCCAGAATTAAACCTTGTTTTTTCAAGCTTTAATAGTGATTTTTTAGATCATAAAAAGAACAAAAAAATATATTACTTTATTTAAAACAAACACATATATGGTACTAGTCCTTTTGCGATCATGCATAATTTGATATGTATGAATAATAACATTAATACTAAACTACTAATAGACTGAAATCAACGAATAATTTTCATTTTCGCGAACATTTTTTAATGAAATCGTGAATGTCTTTCAAACTCACGAGCATCTTTAAAAAATTCTGAACAGTTTTCGACTTCGTGAAGATATTTTTTGAAAATGTGAACATTTTGTTTTGAAAATAAAAACATTTTTTGAAATTTAGAAACAATTTTTCAAAATCATAAAAGTTGTTTGTTTGACGAATATTTTCTTGAAATGCACAAAGATTTTTTTTGTCAATAAGGAGCATTTTTTGAATCGGTGTACATTTTGTCATTTTCTGAGTTAGTAATTTTTTATTCACAATCACTATCCGATTTTTGCACATATTTTAAAATTTCAAGAACATTTTTTGAATTCACGAATATTTTTTCAAATGCACAAACATGTTTCAAACACGCGATCTTTTTGAATACGCGATGCTTTTTCTAAAATCATGAACATTTTTTTGAATCCATGAACATTCTATGCTTTCCTGAATATTTTTAAAAAATCATTTGTTAAAATTTGGTACTTTTTGAAATCCCAAATTATTTTTCATAATACAAACAAAAACATAAAAGAAAAAACAAAAAGAAAAAAAGGGGGAAAAAC